ACCTCACCTTCAACACCATCAAGCCCATCACATTCATCTTCAACAGCATCAGGCCCAACTCTATCTCCAACACCAACTTCACCTTCAACACCATCGAGCCCATCACATTCATCTTCAACACCATCAGGCCCAGCTCTATCTCCAACTTCTTCTCCAACACCAACATCATCTTCAACACCATCAGGCCCAACTCTATCTCCAACACCAACTTCATCTTCAACACCATCAAGCCCATCACATTCATCTTCAACACCACCAGGNCAGGCCCAACTCTATCTCCAACTTCTTCTCCAACACCAACTTCATCTTCAACACCATCAGGTCCAACTCTATCTCCAACACCAACTTCATCTTCAACACCATCAGGCCCAACTCTATCTCCAACACCAACTTCATCTTCAACACCATCAAGCCCATCACCTTTATATTCAACACCATCAGGCCCATCTATAACCCCAACTTCTTCTCCAACACCATCAAGCCCATCATCGCCTTCATCTTCAACACCACTAGGCCCATCTCTATCTCCAACAGTAGCAAGCCCACCTCCAACTCCAACTTCTTCTTCAACAACATCAAGCACATCTCCGACGCCAGCTTCATCTCCAATCGAGCCAACAAGAAGTCCTCCGCCAGTTACTCAATCTCCATCACCACCACAAGTTTCTTCTCCCGCATCACAACCTCCAGTGTACTCCGCACCACCACCACTAGTTTCTTCTCCCACATCACAACCTCCTCCTCTTCCCCCAGTTCACTCCCCACCACCATTAACTCCAAGCAACTCCCCTCAATTACCTCCCCCATCTCCTCCCCGCCATGACCAATCATCGCCACCTACAAGCTCTGAATTCATCCTCCCTCCACACTTGGGCACTCAGTACGCATCGCCTCCTCCACCAATATTACCAGGCTATTAAGCAGTGTCTCTCTGATCACTCTTTACAGTTTTTACAGCCCCACAATATCAAATGCACATTTGCTACTTGTTCTGTCCAAAAAGAAACTACAATTGTTTCCGTTGCCCTATCAACTGCAAAAAAAATCAATCAATAAAGGCCACTACAAGCGACGCATCATGTAATGATCAGAAATCAAGATGAAACAACATTTCACATTTCTTATGGAATGTAAAGATTGTTTTGGAGGGCTTATCCATTTCAAGCTCTGTCTTGCAACTACGTGTCAACTTGTCAATGACACAAGCCAAATGGAGCCTCAATTCTCAATGCTAAGATAGAATACTGTTGAAATTAATTGTGATATATATCCGGATATATACCATCACTGGCATAACATGCTAGCCAAGTCCTGCTGAAAATGTTATTGCACTGTAACATGTAAATATTAGGGTAGCTGTCTTCCTAGCCAAGTCTTGTTAATGATGATATAAACTATGTAATTTAAGGGAAAATCTATTATACTGGACCAAAAGAGTTTTGACCAATCAACCCCCCATTTCAAATGAATACCAACTGATTGGTTATCAGTTTTTCTAGTATCATGTCTTTCTACTCAAACCAATAATTTAAACTTCTTGGTAATGCTCATCATCGCCACAATAGAATCCTAATGATACCACATTGATCGTTTCAAGGCACGACTGTACGTGAAGGGGTTCACTCAAGAGGCCGGTATTGATTACAATGAAACTTTCAGTTCAATTGTTAAGTTTCAAGAGATACAATTTGTTCTTGTCGAGATGTTTTTTGTAGAAATTGAGATTTAATCTCATTAGAGATTAAATTAAATGAGTTTGATTTATGACTACATACCTTGGCTTTTGCTTTCTTATATTAATAAAGGTATTCTTCTAAAACATTTGGTCTTTCTAACAAAAGTTTTGTATTATTACTTTTTCTTCAAAGTCCTACATGGAAAAATTACAAAACTTCTCTTTGATTTATTAATAGAAACTTGCATCTACATCCTTTAGATGTATGGAGTAAAGAGTATATAGACTTGCTATCACACAATGTGGGTTTATGCATGATGTAGTGCAATGGGGTGCTGTAGAGGTGCACTTTGTTCACATTTTGCATGCAACCACATAATATGTAAGGACACCAAAGGGAGGCTTGATTATAGCTGTTGTTTCGGTTTTTTCTTTCATCCAATGGTCAAAAATTGATTAGGTGTGATCAATAAACATAGTTCAAATTTTAGCAACTATTAATTGATTAAAAATATCCAATCGAGTCAATAAATGCTTATATATGAGTAAATAGCAAACCTCACAACTAACCAAATGATTGAATCATTAAAGCATGTCAATGATGTTAAAAGGGTTTAGAATCCATCACATGGATGGAAAAACCATGTTAGATGGATGGGAAAATTTTAAAAATATTTTTTAACCCTTCTAGAAACCGATTTCCCTGTAAGTTTGAAAACTGAATTTTCAAAATCGATCTTGCACTGAACCAAACTAGATTTGAAACCAAATTGAAAAGGAATTATACCTGATACGGAGACCACAAATCACAACTCCCAAGGTGGAAGTTCATGCCCAATATCATTTTAATATTTGAATGTATGTGATAAGTAATGTAAAATTTAAAATATACAAAATTTAAATCATAATGATATATTTTGAACCATATATTAATATATTATGATAATATACATATTAAATTACTCAATTTAATCAATGAAGATGATATAAGTTTTAAAGTATATATTTATATTTATTGAAAATCAAACTTTTATAGAACATGTTTTGTTTGTTTGTTTTGAAGGAGAGAGTAAAGAAAGAACAAGTTCCGGGGGTAGACCTGGAACCGACCCCAAAATCATCAAACCTAAAACCAACCCTAGAATTGACCTTCATAGGGTAGGTTCCGATTCCAAAAACATGGAATTGACCCCTACAGGGTAGGTTATAGACTTAAAGGTTTTTCCAGGGAACCGTACTAAACCAACCCATGCTTACCCTTACTCAACGCATTCAATTTAGTTTAGATTGTTCAAATTTTTCATTCAAAATAGAGTATTTCTTAGGGGACATCTCCTACTTGTATAGGGATGGCTTCTCATACCTAGAAACTTTTTTGCTCAATTTTGGGTCTCATGAGATGACTCCCAATTAACCTAGGGATATCCTCTCATAACTAGAAATTCCAAGATCATTGTGCAAAACCTCAAACGATGTCTCCTTCTTAAGCAAGGATCATCTCTTGGTTCCCCTAGTAGTTTTTCTCCAATCAAAACTACTTTTTCTTTCCCTAAACCATTTCAAATTTGACTCAACCTTTATAACTTGTTCCAATGAACATCACGATTCTAAGGTTTAATTAAGTTCATCTTGAGCCCTTAGCTTATGTACATCATCTGCTTAAATATGATGACACTAAATGCCTATTCTAAAGGATTAAAACACTTCTTGTGCTTGAGATTTTTTTTTTTTAGGAAATTGACCAAGTTGAGTCCATTGAGTAGCAATCAACATCGTTCCTTTGCGAGCCTATTGAATGAGAACTATTTGGAATACTTTGTATTTATTTGGGTTGTAAGACTTAAACACTTCATTAGCATCAACTCCTCATTGTGAGTTTGTTATCATTGAAACACATGTGAGATTAACCCAAGATCAACAAGAAGGCCAAACCCTAAAGAACTATGAGGAATAATTAATTTACTAGTCAGGACCCTATGACGCACGAGCTTTATTTATCAACAAAATTGAAGATGGAGCTCTATGGAATTTCCAATTAAATGGTGTCCATCTAAGTTCAACTCAAGTATTATTTGTTTGGGGTTATCTCTAGTATATCTTATCACAATCTTAGTTGCGTTTTAGTGAGAGTAGCCAATTTCCTATTCTCTAGATAACTTTGTATTTTTTGTATCTTAATGCTTTTTTTACTAATTTTTTAGAAAAGACTTTTTAGTAATTTTTATTGGTTTATTATTATTTTTAGGTAAAATTATAAAAATATCCTCTTATAACAATTCTATAAACCAAGTTTGTGTTTTGACCTTAACAAAGGCCTCCCC